TTAGTAGTAGTTACTGGTAGTTACTGGTAGTTACTAGTAGTTACTAGTAGTTACTGGTAGTTACTAGTAGTTACTAGTAGTTACTGGTAGTTACTAGTAGTTACTAGTAGTTACTGGTAGTTACTAGTAGTTAGTAGTAGTTACTGGTAGTTACTGGTAGTTACTAGTAGTTACTAGTAGTTACTGGTAGTTACTAGTAGTTACTAGTAGTTACTAGTAGTTACTGGTAGTTACTAGTAGTTACTAGTAGTTACTGGTAGTTACTGGTAGTTACTAGTAGTTACTAGTAGTTACTGGTAGTTACTAGTAGTTACTAGTAGTTACTGGTAGTTACTAGTAGTTAGTAGTAGTTACTGGTAGTTACTGGTAGTTACTAGTAGTTACTAGTAGTTACTAGTAGTTACTGGTAGTTACTAGTAGTTACTAGTAGTTACTGGTAGTTACTAGTAGTTACTAGTAGTTGCTGGTAGTTACTGGTAGTTACTAGTAGTTACTAGTAGTTACTAGTTAGCCTGCATTGCAGGCGTATTTTGGGTGGGCGAAACCTTGTTCGTGTTCGTAATGTTGTTGTAGCCGCCATCTTTGATTTTATGACAGTGGAAGATTGGGGAGAGTAGTAATTGTAACCCTTACGGTAGGTGCGGGGGCGAAAGAAGGAAAGCGGGGAGGGGGAGGGGAGAAAAAAAATACGCCTGCCCGATATCATTGTTCTTTTGGGAAACTCCGTACGCTGGCAAACGGAGCTCCTGATTGGTGCGGCATAGGGAATTAGATTGTTCCCTGTCAATTAACTGTAAGTCTATATTGTTTCGGAGCGGCTGGGAATGTCGCGTGTATTACGCAATGAGAAAGTCAAAGCTATTTCTAAACTGGCCATCAGGACAAGATTTGCTCGCGGTACTAAAATCTACACCACTTTTACCTCATGCCAAAATGCTGCTTGTTCCAACACGTTTTTTTTTTCTGGCGAGTAGATTATGCTCTGGAGTGTTCTATGTTTTGAGTGAGCAAATGTGATTTTAGCCTCTTGTTTCACACTGAGAGGTCATGACACCCTTATTGATTTTCTGTGGTTTTTGAATTTCTGGTCTTCATGATATGCCCTCTGATGCAAGAGCGTTTTCTTTGACCTCTTTTGAAGCGTACAGCTCTTTTTTTTGCCAAATAAAGCTGTTAGGTTCTTTATTTTTGTCCAAAGAGCCTCAGGATCTGAATAACTAAGCGATTTTCTTTCTAGTCCGAGAATGTGATGTTTTCCTGCAATGTTGTATCACGCTGGGCCCAGCTCGTTAGTTTTTCAAATTCTTTGCAGGGTGTTAAACTCTCACAGATAGCGATTTACAGAAATGAATTTAGAAGAATGAATTGCAGCTTAAACTGAAGCTTCATCAGCTGTGGAGAATTGCATTGCCACTCAGTCAAGATAAAAACACAGCTTGTTTTTCTTAAGACAATGCGAGTCTTTGGACTGGAGCGACTGTTTGGTTGTTTTGTTATTGTCGGCTACTCATTTCCGGAAGAGCGGTCACGCGCGTCTAATTAGGGGGTGTTTCTCATTTTCACAGTGTTTTCGGGCAGGCGTTTTCTCTTCTCTCTCCCCGCCCCCTCCCCGCTCCCTTTGACTCGCCCCATCTCCTCCTCTCTTCGGGAAGTTTCAACATGGCGCTTTCGCGAGCAAATTGCGCGCTCAAAGAAAACGCCTGCACTGCAGGCTAGTTACTAGTAGTTACTGGTAGTTACTAGTAGTTACTAGTAGTTACTAGTAGTTACTAGTAGTTACTGGTAGTTACTGGTAGTTACTAGTAGTTACTAGTAGTTACTAGTAGTTACTGGTAGTTTCTAGTAGTTACTGGTAGTTACTAGTAGTTAGTAGTAGTTACTGGTAGTTACTAGTAGTTACTAGTAGTTACTAGTAGTTACTGGTAGTTACTAGTAGTTACTAGTAGTTACTAGTAGTTACTGGTAGTTACTAGTAGTTACTAGTAGTCACTGGTAGTTACTAGTAGTTACTAGTAGTTGCTGGTAGTTACTGGTAGTTACTAGTAGTTACTAGTAGTTACTAGTAGTTACTGGTAGTTACTAGTAGTTACTAGTAGTTACTAGTAGTTAGTAGTAGTTACTGGTAGTTACTGGTAGTTACTGGTAGTTACTAGTAGTTACTAGTAGTTACTGGTAGTTACTAGTAGTTACTAGTAGTTACTGGTAGTTACTAGTAGTTACTAGTAGTTACTGGTAGTTACTAGTAGTTAGTAGTAGTTACTGGTAGTTACTGGTAGTTACTAGTAGTTACTAGTAGTTACTAGTAGTTACTGGTAGTTACTAGTAGTTACTAGTAGTTACTGGTAGTTACTAGTAGTTACTAGTAGTTACTGGTAGTTACTGGTAGTTACTAGTAGTTACTAGTAGTTACTGGTAGTTACTAGTAGTTACTAGTAGTTACTGGTAGTTACTAGTAGTTACTAGTAGTTACTGGTAGTTACCGGTAATTACTAGTAGTTACTAGTAGTTACTGGTAGTTACTAGTAATTATTAGTAGTTACTGATAGTTACTAGTAGTTACTGGTAGTTACTAGTAGTTACTAGTAGTTACTAGTAGTTACTGGTAGTTACTGGTAGTTACTAGTAGTTACTAGTAGTTACTAGTAGTTACTGGTAGTTTCTAGTAGTTACTGGTAGTTACTAGTAGTTAGTAGTAGTTACTGGTAGTTACTAGTAGTTACTAGTAGTTACTAGTAGTTACTGGTAGTTACTAGTAGTTACTAGTAGTTACTAGTAGTTACTGGTAGTTACTAGTAGTTACTAGTAGTTACTAGTAGTTACTGGTAGTTACTAGTAGTTACTAGTAGTTACTGGTAGTTACTAGTAGTTACTAGTAGTTACTAGTAGTTACTAGTAGTTACTAGTAGTTACTAGTAGTTACTAGTAGTTACTAGTAGTTACTAGTAGTTACTGGTAGTTACTAGTAGTTACTAGTAGTTACTAGTAGTTACTGGTAGTTACTAGTAGTTACTAGTAGTTACTGGTAGTTACTAGTAGTTACTAGTAGTTACTAGTAGTTACTAGTAGTTAGTAGTAGTTACTAGTAGTTACTGGTAGTTACTAGTAGTTAGTAGTAGTTACTAGTAGTTACTGGTAGTTACTAGTAGTTACTAGTAGTTACTAGTAGTTACTAGTAGTTACTGGTAGTTACTAGTAGTTACTAGTAGTTACTAGTAGTTACTAGTAGTTACTGGTAGTTACTGGTAGTTACTAGTAGTTACTGGTAGTTACCGGTAGTTACTAGTAGTTACTAGTAGTTACTGGTAGTTACTAGTAATTATTAGTAGTGACTGGTAGTTACTAGTAGTTACTGGTAGTAACTAGTAGTTACTAGTAGTTACTGGTAGTTACTAGTAGTTACTAGTAGTTACTAGTAGTTACTGGTAGTTACTAGTAGTTAATAGTAGTTACTGGTAGTTACTGGTAGTTACTGGTACTTACTAGTAGTTACTGGAAGTTACCGGTAGTTACTAGTAGTTACTAGTAGTTACTGGTAGTTACTAGTAGTTACTAGTAGTTACTAGTAGTTAGTAGTAGTTACTGGTAGTTACTGGTAGTTACTAGTAGTTACTAGTAGTTACTGGTAGTTACTAGTAGTTACTAGTAGTTACTGGTAGTTACTAGTAGTTACTAGTAGTTACTGGTAGTTACTAGTAGTTACTAGTAGTTACTGGTAGTTACTGGTAGTTACTAGTAGTTACTAGTAGTTACTGGTAGTTACTAGTAGTTACTAGTAGTTACTAGTAGTTACTGGTAGTTACTAGTAGTTACTAGTAGTTACTGGTAGTTACTAGTAGTTACTAGTAGTTACTAGTAGTTACTAGTAGTTACTGGTAGTTACTAGTAGTTACTAGTAGTTACTAGTAGTTACTGGTAGTTACTAGTAGTTACTAGTAGTTACTGGTAGTTACTAGTAGTTACTAGTAGTTACTAGTAGTTACTAGTAGTTACTAGTAGTTACTAGTAGTTACTGGTAGTTACTAGTAGTTAGTAGTAGTTACTGGTAGTTACTGGTAGTTACTAGTAGTTACTAGTAGTTACTAGTAGTTACTGGTAGTTACTAGTAGTTACTAGTAGTTACTGGTAGTTACTAGTAGTTACTAGTAGTTGCTTGTAGTTACTGGTAGTTACTAGTAGTTACTAGTAGTTACTAGTAGTTACTGGTAGTTACTAGTAGTTACTAGTAGTTACTAGTAGTTACTGGTAGTTACTGGTAGTTACTAGTAGTTACTAGTAGTTACTAGTAGTTACTGGTAGTTTCTAGTAGTTACTGGTAGTTACTAGTAGTTAGTAGTAGTTACTGGTAGTTACTAGTAGTTACTAGTAGTTACTAGTAGTTACTGGTAGTTACCAGTAGTTACTAGTAGTTACTGGTAGTTACTAGTAGTTACTAGTAGTTACTAGTAGTTACTGGTAGTTACTAGTAGTTACTAGTAGTTGATGGTAGTTTTTGGTATTTACTAGTAGTTAGTGGTAGTTATTAGTAGTTACTAGTATTTACTGGTAGTTACTAGTAATTGTCGGTCGTTACTAGTAGTTACTGGTAGTAACTAGTAGTTGCTGATAGTTACTGGTAGTTGTTGGTAGTTACTAGTAGTTCCTAGTAGTTATCGGTAGTTACTGGTAGTTACTAGTAGTTACTGGTAGTTACTAGTAGTTGTCGGTAGTTACTAGTAGTTACTAGTTGTTAATTGTAGTTCTTGGTATTTACTGGAAGTTATTGGTAGTTATACGTAGTTACTGGTAGTTACTAGTAGTTGTCGGTAGTTACTAGTCGTTACTGGTAGTTTCTAATAGTTGTCGATAGTTACTGGTAGTTGGTTGATGGTATAAGTTATTGGTATTTACTAGTAGTTGCTGGTAGTTACTAGTAGTTGCTGGTAGTTTCTAATAGTTGCCGGTAATTACTGATTCGAGTCGACTGTTTTTATTTGCTTGGACTATGTCTGGGCTGTGGTTCAATTTTGGTGATTTACCTTTTTGTGGAACTATGTGTCGGGATACATTTTCCTAACGAACGTGAAATTGAGGCATACTTGAAAGAAACTACTAATGATTTTGAAAAGGATCCAAGGAACCCCAGGTTTTGTGGTATAATACTTCCCCCAATGTCATTTAGCGGACAAACTCAAGACCAATTTCTCTTACCAAAGGTGTTTCTCTGGAGCCCCCAGGAACAATACGGATACCAACTTGTTTGTCCAGTACACGGGTCGTCATTGCGACCATGGCAGTGGCTTAACGATCTCTCAGAGAAAAAAGGAAAACGGCCAAGGATGGTTTACGATTTATTCGGAAACATTTTTCTTGTTCAGAGGATTTATATTTGTATCCAAGGAAAAATGTCTCATAAAATACATGCGGCAACTCAAGACCTATTGAAGATGCTACCATCCTCAGTGCAAATTAACTTTCCCGTACTTCTGTTTCAAAGAAGTGGGTGTTCCAAGCAACTAATACAGTATGTTAATAATGAAATGGCACAGGGTGTAAACTTTCTAAAAATAAGCGAAGGAATCGCGTCTCTTAATCACGGAGAACTTACACGGCTGGGTTTAGCTTATGAGACTGCAAGGCTAGAAGGCTTAACTTCCAGTCAGCCATTCAACTTTAGTAACTTCTACACGAACAACTTATTTTCATTTCCAAGTAACGACCAACTGATGAACATATTTCTACAACAATTTGCCCTAGACAGAAACAGTTACATAAGTGATATGAAGTCCATTTCCGGCTCGTCAATATCATGCGATCACACCTTTAAAGTCAGCAGAAACATTGGTATTGTCGTCGAGAGCAGGGAGGATAGGTTCTTAAAACAATTTCCAAATCTTTACATAGTTCTGAACGAACGGGGGGAAATTCTTGACTGGAGACTAACGAAGTCGACGGCGTTCAGCGAAGTAGAAGACCTGTTAACTAACTTGAAACATAGACTTGAAAGACGACAACCTGAACGACAAAATGTCATTGAACTTATCTGCATTGACGATTGCTGCAAGAATCGACAGAAGTACCAGTCTATTTTTCGTCAAGCGCTTATCAAACTGGATCTTTTTCATGCGTGCCAGCGAGTGCTAAAAACTCTTGATAGCAAGCAGGTTTCTAAGAATCAGTTTGCAAAAGAATTCGGTTTGGTTTTTAGACATGACGATGACCTGGGAGAGCAACGAATGAAAAGTACCCCTAACGAGGCAAAAATAAAAGAGAACCTGGATAAATTTATGAAAAAATGGAGATCGTCGCCAGGTACTTGTATGACTCAAGAAACCCTTAAACAGGTAGAAAACCTTAGAGGACATATCGACAAGGATTGTCTTTCCGAGATACCTCCCGGTATGGGGACAGAAAGAAACGAGCAGCTACACCGGTTATTAAACAGATCGCTTTTATCAGGAGCAACAAGGATCACGACAGAACTAGCAGTTGCCATCCTAATGATTTTATTTTATAATCATAGCAAGAGAGTTTCGTGCAATAGGAAACATATTTGCAATGCGAGGGTTCAGTGTGTACCACCAATTAGTAGGAACGTGCTCCCATTATCTGAAAGTACAAAGGAAGTGAATGAATGGCACCCCTTCCACGTGAATCCGTATTCGGAAAATGACAGCAGTCATGATCAAGCACACAAAAATGATCAATTGACAAAGGATGTTATAAATGGAAGTGACGAGATTCTGGTTGTTGCCGACAAAATCGAAGATGTTTGCTCAGAAACTGTGGCACAAGGAATTCTCCAGGCGGCTATTTCAAACCACTTGATTTTAAAAAACTTTACGAAAGGGAAATTTAACAGATCATTTAATAGTGCCGACTTGTTTTTGCTAGCAAACACAAACGGCCTGACGATGCATCATGCTAGTATGGAGGATGAAGATGATAATAGCGATCCTACCGTTCGAGACCACTTCACCTCCCTGTCTAGAAATCTGTCAGGTTTTCATCTCGAAATTGACGAGATACCTAAAGATGGAGATTGTGCCTTTCGTAGTATTATTAGGACATTAAGTTCCGCCTGCGGGGAAGATTATCCTGATTTGTTGAGTCATCTCAAACACATAGGTCTTATGAAATCCGAGGATGAAGACACCGCAGTGCTACGGGAGTGCTTTGTAGAAGAAATCCTTAAAGAGGACAACGAGTTACTAGCCTTTCTTCCAACTCAAGATAGGTACACGATAACTCAAACGGCACACCTGTTTAAAAGGCGAGGCGTGTTTGACACAGCCCTAGGTGACTTTGTCATGAAAGTCTGCGCAGAGATCCTCCGGGTACCAATCATGGTGGTTACATCATTGACATCCTTGCCGTACATTCCATTCCTTCCGAGCAGACCCCTGTCCAGTACGTTTATTCATGTGCCTTATCATTATTATGGAGCAGGTCACTATGATGCTACTAAACCACACGATTTAGGTAAAATTAACAATTAGCAGTTATTATATTAGATAAAGTACGATCTGAAGGCTAATCAAAAAGTAGGACAAAGTAGGCGAAATGGAGTAAGAGCGATGAAGACTGCAAAACCATAAATTCATTTTTTTAAGGGAAGTTTTACCTGCCATGGGTGTCCTTGTATCTTAAGGACCCTATTATGTTAGTTTTACGTGTGAAGATCACATGTTTTCGCGCGGAAAGCTCAGGCTCAAATACTTAGGGCCTGTTAACATGGAGGTGGGGGACCCCAGGTACGTTAGGTAACTTGCTTAGGTGGGGTAAAAAATTAAACCACGTTTTTTGGCGATTAATACTCTTCTACACTCCCTTGTTGCTCTTGCTGCAACCTTCAGTACTGTGGCTTTCTGTTGTTACCTTTAATAATGATGGAAAGTCACCGCAAAAGTGAATTTTGCGCGAATTTGATGTATCACGAATCGGACCCCTGCTAGGCGGGTTACCCCACCTTGAACGTTTACATGGCAAAATTTGACTCCGGCTGAGAGGGTTACAAACCGGGCTATTCGCCTTAGCGGGTCACCCCACATATCAGGTAAACGTCATCAAATTAAAATGAGAGATTATATGGAAAGGCGGGTTACCCCACCTAGGCTGGTTACCTCACCTACCTGGGGTCCCTCACCTCCATGTAAACAGGACCTTATAGTGTAATTAAGCCGTCTATCCTAAGGGAGAGGGCTAAAATCTAGTAATGGCTAGTACGCTCTCACTTTGGGGTCTCTAGAAACGACAAGACAAAAACAGAAACAAAAACTTTACACTTGCAGCACATTTTTTGGTGGATGATTCGATTCTTTGCCGTCCCCGCACAACTATGACGTGAAAAGACCAAATGTTATAAAGTATACTTGAGAATGAGAACAGCAAGGCGATAAATTTTACTGTCTCGGTCTCAACTTGGTCGCAATCCTATTCGAACTCGTTTACGTTCATACATACATGCTTTATTGACTTTCCTCATGGAGGCTTTTCAAGGACAATAATTCAATTAGTTACATACGACTAAAAAGATAAAAATTTATGACAATAAACATCTTCAAGGACGCTCAAAATATTTACAATAATATTTATCAGACGTATAATTTATAGATTAATTTTAAAAAGCTTTTACTTTGAAATTCTAATAGAAATATTCACACTAAAATTTAAATGACATGATAAAAACTTAAGAATTGACCAGTTTACGTTTCAGATTGAACTTAAAAGCAGATACTGACTCAAAAGTTTTAAGAAGGTTATCCATGGAGTTCCAGATACTGACTATTCTATAATAAAACGTCCTCTGACCACTGGCAGACTTGAAAAGTGGAATGTTCAGTGTCTGTGAACTTCTCGTGGCACGCCCGCCTATTTCTCCTCGCTTAATGAACTGGGAGAAAGGTACTCCTGCACGCGGGAAGTAAGGCATTTAAAGGCCATGGTAGCGTTCCTAAACTAGACAAAAAATATGGCTAGATTTAAACTTAAATTTTCTCTTCAAATAGGTACTACAATTGATAAAGGAACTGAAACAAAAGCAGATGAGAGAAGAGGATGCAGCTGTGGCAGCAAAATAAAGTCAAGAGAGAAATTGGCATGCGCAGTAAACTCTTGGGGCCAAAAGTCGAGGTGTCCTTGTGTGAACAGCGGACAAAAATGTTCATTGGATCGATGTAAGTGTAGAAACTGTGGAAACATAACAAGCAACAAATCAAAACAACTTAAGACGCAGTGTAGATGTGGAGAACGCGAAAAACTGAAAAGTTCCAAAGTTGAATCGTGCACAGACGTGCAAGGTAGGAATAGAACAAAGTGTCCTTGTTTTGTGAACGGCCTCGGCTGTAAAAATTGTCACTACTACAACTGCAAAAACATCTATGGAGAAAAAGAGTCCAGCTTAGAAAAAAATAAAGACTTGCCCACGGGAAAAAGGAAATCAGGTCTATCCAGTCCACCATCTCTAAAACGGCAGAGGGGCTCGCAATTTTTGAAGGAAAATGGAATAACAAACCATAGTGGAGGATGGAGTGAACTTGAGGGCTGTATCTTAGATATGACCGAATCATTTCTATACTCAACCAGCATTTTACCATCTAAGGGAAATATTTCTACCCTATATAACTATGTAATTCAAAGTAGCGCTGGGAGGAATTCTGACGTCAAATTAAACACGAAGTCCCTCGCACAAGTCATTGGAAAGCTTGATTACAAAAAAAGACGACTAGATGCTATTTTAAGTCATCTATCAGAAAGCCAACTTGATGATGGAGACTCACCTGTAGCCTAGATATGTACCATGACAAGAAGATGAACTACCGTACTAAACTGTATTTAATCAAGAAACTTCAAATAATGGTAACATATTAATTCTGTAATAATAAACTAGGCGATCAACCACCATTAATTTCAATTGTTAGTATAATTGCAAGCATGTTAAAATATGCGAAAAAAAATAAATGTCTCAGTATTTCAAAAAACGATACTGAATCTTTATAGCTCGGTAAAGCCTCGGTACAGCCAGAGAAAACAGCCAACATCTCGCGATGCCGCCACTTGATCGAGCTGCAGTGCACTGCTGACGGACCTTTACGAAGTAGAAAAAAAAATGGTGCCACAAAGCCACTTGCCTCAGTGATGCCAAGTGCAAACTTTCACCGCCAAAAAGTACAAAGTATAACTAAAGTATAACTAATCAAATCTTGACATGATTACACTTTACAAACCAAGAAATAAAGATCACTTTATATTCAGAAGGAGGTGGTAATCTCAAAAATTGCTGCTACGACCGCAAAAAAAAAAAAAAAAAAAAAAAAGGTTAGTAAAGATCCATCTACGCAGCCGTAGTACAATTAGATAATTAAAAACCGTTTGCATTCAATTATAGAAAGAGAACCTTTACTGTAACATTGGTTTTACAAAGGACTACTACAACTAGGAAATGGATATTTACTTCAAACACATTAAAGACTATTACTGTTTACAAGGTTTTCACAATAGGGAGCTTAAGCAGCGACGTTTTTGCGCGACGGACGTCAACCGGAAGTGAGCCTTTTTCTCTTTTAGTAAGCCTTGACGCTACCGTATTTATATTGCCAAGTGTCTTAATTCTTATAGAGACGATCTGCCCAAAAATTTGTTCAAAATCACGGCTCAAGAGTGCAAAATGTCCACTTCCGGTTGACGTGCGTCGCTCAAAAACGTCGCTGCTTAAACTCCCTAATGACTATGTCAGCGACATCATTAAGTGAGGTTTTTATAAATTAGTAGAAATAAAATTAAAGGCAAAGAGTTACGACATTGAGAATGAAATACATGTCACTTTAAATGGAATGTATGAGCCAACCTGTCATTCTGTGTAAAGGCATATCAAGTTTAAGATAAACTTTCACAAATAAAGTCTACTTAAAGTGATTGCTTTGTGTGAACATTGCTTTCATGCCACATTGGCGGAATCTAAAGGCGAGGAATTGAGAACGCCGAGAGTTCTGATGTTTCCCGAGACGAGGTCAACAAGGGAAACATCATTACTTGACGAAAAATATAACTAACTGTTTTTCCGGTGGGGGGAACTAACATCAAGTGTTCTGTTATATTACTAGACTTTCACTTCAACAGCGTCAATAGAGATAGTCGAGGCAAATGAAAACAGTCAACTCGAATCAGTAATTACCGGCAACTACCAGTAACTACCAGCAACTACTAGTAACTACCAGTAACTACTAGTAACTACCGACAACTACTAGTAAGTACCAGTAACTACTAGTAACTACCGATAACTACTAGTAACTACCAGTAACTACAGACAACTACTAATAACTACCGAAAACTACTAGTAACGACCACTAAATACTAGTAACTACCAACAAATACCACCAACTACCAGTAACTACTAGTAACTACCGGCAACTACTATTAACTACCGAGAACTACCATGAACTACCAGTAACTACTAATAACTACCGACAACTACTAGTAACTACCAGTAACTACCAGTAACTACTAGTAACTACCAGGAACTACTAGTAACTACCGACAACTACTACGAACTACTAGTAACTACCAACAACTACCAGTAACTACCAGCAACTACTAGTAACTACCAGTAACTACTAGTAATTACCAGTAACTACTGTTAACTATTAGTAACTACTATCAACTACTAGTAACTACTAGTAACTACCATCAACTACTAGTAACTACTAGTAACTACCGACAACTACTAGTAACTACCAGTAACTACTAGTAACTACCAATAACTACTAGTAACTACCAGTAACTACTAGTAAATACCAGTAACTACAAGCAACTACCAGTAACTACTAGTAAATACCAGTAACTACTAATAACTACCAGTAACTACTAATAACTACCAGTAACTACTAGTAACTACCACTAACTACTAGTAACTACCAATAACTACTAGTAACTACCAGTAACTACTAATAACTACCAGTAACTACTAGTAAATACCAATAACTACTATTAACTACCAGTAACTACTAGCAACTACCAGTAACTACTAGTAACTACCAGTAACTACTAGTAACTACCAGTAACTACCAGTAACTACTAGTAACTACTAGTAACTACTAGTAACTACCAGTAACTACCAGCAACTACTAGTAACTACCAGTAACTACCAGTAACTACTAGTAACTACTAGTAACTACTAGTAACTACCAGTAACTACTAGTAACTACCAGTAACTACCAGTAACTACTAGTAACTACCTGTAACTACTAGTAACTACCAGTAACTACCAGTAACTACTAGTAACTACTAGTAACTACTAGTAACTACTAGTAACTACCAGTAACTACCAGTAACTACTAGTAACTACCAGTAACTACTAGTAACTACCAGTAACTACCAGTAACTACTAGTAACTACTAGTAACTACCAGTAACTACCAGTAACTACTAGTAACTACTAGTAACTACCAGTAACTACTAGTAACTACCAGTAACTACTAGTAACTACCAGCAACTACCAGTGACTACTAGTAACTACCAGTAACTACTAGTAACTACTAGTAACTACCAGTAACTACCAGTAACTACTACTAACTACTAGTAACTACCAGTAACTACTAGTAACTACCAGTGACTACTAGTAACTACTAGTAACTACTAGTAACTACCAGTAACTACCAGTAACTACTAGTAACTACTAGTAACTACTAGTAACTACTAGTAACTACCAGTAACTACCAGTAACTACTAGTAACTACTAGTAACTACCAGTAACTACTAGTAACTACTAGTAACTACTAGTAACTACCAGTAACTACCATCAACTACTACTAACTACTAGTAACTACCAGTAACTACTAGTAACTACTAGTAACTACCAGTAACTACTAGTAACTACCAGTAACTACCAGTAACTACTACTAAATACTAGTAACTACTAGTAACTACCAGTAACTAGTAGTAACTACTAGTAACTACCAGAAACTACTAGTAACTACCGACAATTACCAGTAACTACCAGTAACTACTAGTAACTACCAGTAACTACCAGTAACTACTAGTAACTACCTGTAACTACTAGTAACTACCAGTAACTACCAGTAACTACTAGTAACTACTAGTAACTACTAGTAACTACCAGTAACTACCAGTAACTACTAGTAACTACCAGTAACTACCAGTAACTACCAGTAACTACTAGTAACTACCAGTAACTACTAGTAACTACTAGTAACTACCAGTAACTACCAGTAACTACTAGTAACTACCAGTAACTACTAGTAACTACCAGTAACTACCAGTAACTACTAGTAACTACCTGTAACTACCAGTAACTACCAGTAACTACCAGTAACTACTAGTAACTACTAGTAACTACTAGTAACTACCAGTAACTACCAGTAACTACTAGTAACTACTAGTAACTACCAGTAACTACTAGTAACTACCAGTAACTACTAGTAACTACTAGTAACTACCAGTAACTACTAGTAACTACCAGTAACTACTAGTAACTACTAGTAACTACCAGTAACTACTAGTAACTACTAGTAACTACTAGTAACTACCAGTAACTACCAGTAACTACTAGTAACTACCAGTAACTACTAGTAACTACCAGGTGACTAGTAACTACTAGTAACTACTAGTAACTACTAGTAACTACTAGTAACTACTAGTAACTACTAGTAACTACTAGTAACTACTAGTAACTACTAGTAACTACTAGTAACTACCAGTAACTACTAGTAACTACTAGTAACTACTTAGTAACTACTAGTAACTACTAGTAACTACCAGTAACTACTAGTAACTACTAGTAACTACTAGTAACTACCAGTAACTACCATCAACTACTACTAACTACTAGTAACTACCAGTAACTACCAGTAACTACTAGTAACTACCAGTAACTACTAGTAACTACCAGTAGCTACTAGTAACTACTAGTAACTACTAGTAACTACCAGTAACTACTAGTAACTACTAGTAACTACTAGTAACTACCAGTAACTACCAGTAACTACTAGTAACTACCAGTAACTACCATCAACTACTACTAACTACTAGTAACTACCAGTAACTACTAGTAACTACCAGTAACTACTAGTTACTACTAGTAACTACCAGTAACTACTACTAAATACTAGTAACTACTAGTAACTACAAGTAACTACTAGTAACTACTAGTAACTACCAGTAACTACTAGTAACTACTAGTAACTACCAGTAACTACTAGTAACTACTAGTAACTACTAGTAACTACCAGTAACTACTAGTAACTACTAGTAACTACTAGTAACTACCACTAGGTATTAGGGAGAAGACACAATACTACATAATACACAGAGTGTATACTACCGGTGCACTTGTGGCTTTCTACCATGAAGTATATACCAAGTTCTGTTGATGTTTTTGGATGGAACAGCTGAAAGGTATTTGTAAACAACGGCACTGTACAGTGAATTCTACGCTGTAAAGTACCGACGAATCGAACCAAAGCAAGCAACACAGATACAAGAATCTTAGCTGGGGTACGCATGCACTTACAAGATTAAAACGTTCACGATAATGTACGTTCCTTAGTCCATAGTAAAATTTAACGACGACCAAAGTAAAATTGGGTTGAATTCGTTCATGAAAAAAGTGTAGCAGATCGTGGATCATGGACAAAACGTCAAGGTGAGTTATGTCAGGCTTACGCTGTTGCAACGAATCAAAAATCATTTGGCTTGTGTCCGTGCAAATGTTATGTAGCACAATCGCTCTTATTCTCTTTATTTTTAAAAAGGATAAACTTCATTGTCTGTATTTTAATGCATGTTCTTACATTTGGACGAGTGACCGTGATTGCTGAATATTTACAAAGCGAGACTGTTGCAGATTTGTTATGTCACGTGCTTTTGTAACGTGTACGCGTGGATTAAAAGTATCAGTTGCATTTTGACTTTCTAGTGGTTTTTACACCGTTACTGTACTAAGGCCTTGTCAACTCCTCTACCATGTCTCATGATTATTGTATTCTTGAAGTCTGCAATTCGTTTTTTTTTGTACTGACGAGTGGTAGACCATTACCGGTAACAACATTTTATCTTTTCGAAGCCACTTTGCAGCCCAGATCGTGATTCGGGAATTTTCTGCACCGCTGCAACAGCGCTGTTTGTCGCTCCATCATGTAATATTCATTCGTACATTCCTCACTTCAGCTGAAGTTTATGCTCATGATTTACGTATTGAGTCACCGAGTATTTAGTGTTTTGTTTTCTTCCTCGAAGAACTCCGCCATATTTGGTTGGACTTTCGATCCCGCATTTCCTCTCGGTTCCGAGTCCTTGAATTAAGTTTTCGATGGTTTGTCGAGCTGCATTGCTTCAAATAAATCAGAGTAACCCCAGATGACACCCAATAATGAAGCAAGTGTCCATGTAATTATGCGCTCATTTGAGGTAAATTAACGGCGTTTAAACGCGTCGTTTGTATAAAGCTCTTTCGACATAAAAATCTTGCGCACGCGTTTTTTGTGTGTTTAAACGTTGTTTAAATACGTTTAAACGTTGTTTAAATACGTTTAAACGGTGTTTTAACACGTTTATGTTTAAAACGGTAGAAAACACGTTTTTTTGTTATTCACCTTAATCCCCCTTTTCCTAAATAAGGTCACAAATGAATAGCCTTAAAGATTAGGGATTAGACCTAGCCCTAATCTCTTAACAAAATACTCCATTAGATCGAGGGGAATCTGTGTGGTTTGGTAATTTATCGATGAAGCAGTGACCTGTACTTTAACTACATCTCACCTTCCAATAGACTAGAGCCAGTGTTGAAACCCGCCCTCCCAAGCCACACAATTTACTCCAATTCTCTCCATCCTTCCATCGCTGACATTTTATGGACCTTTGCCGCCCCCGAGCTTCGAGAGGTTGTGCGTTACACGTATTTCTAGAATTGAATGCCCTTGCTGCCGCCATATTGTAAAATGAGTAGACCCTAGGAATGAGTCCGGCCAAAAGTTTTCGGAGCCTGGGACGAGACGATGATCTCGTTCCCAGAGGTCGCGATCCCGATGCCATTAATCCTCTTCATTGTAGCCCTTACCCCTCGGTATTTCACACACTCCTGCGGGTATTAGCCACAAGTAGTCCGTCTTTTCTTCCTCAGAACAACGCGCGGCGAGTGCTGTCTTAAACCATGAAACAAGAGATTGCTCGTGACCTAATAACTTCCCGTATGATATTCCCTCATTTTCCTCAAAGGAGGGAGAGAAAAATCGGCTAGCGCGTGTTAAAATTGCCACCTTCACGAGAAAAGTGGCAAGCCAAAGCGCTCTCCTTCTCCCACTTCTCGCCTCTCCCTAGACTTAATCTCCAACCTTGAGTGTCTCGATGCGCCTGAGGTATTCCCCAGGGGTGGAGACTGAGGCTACCTCGACGCCTACCTCTCCTTCGGGGTGGCAATTTTTGTGCGCGCTAGTGCATTATGCAGTTTTTTCAACTTTTGAACCTAATTTATATATAGGGTGACGTCTTCTGTAGATTAACTTGTTTGCTATAGGCTTTTTCCAACAAAAAAAATTGTTATGGTATTTAATAACGTAATACTCTTTGTTGTCCCTCCAACATGTATAAGCATTGTTATCAATTTCTCTTAGGGCGATTGTAAGTCACAAGAGAAATTGAAAACCATGCTTATGCAAAATTTTGGAGGGACAACAAAGCGTATCATGGTATTTTTTGAAAAAGGCCTGTTGAAATAACAAAAATGTAAACAATGATGACAGAAAGGATTCACCTTTTGAGAACGATCCTCTAGCAAGCACTAGCCGAAATCAAGCGCGCGAAATAAGTTGGTCACACAAGCAAGCTTTCCGTTTCGGTTAACGGCACCAACACACAAACAAACCCTGCGGAGGAAAGTTGACTCGACCGTTGGAAAAAGTTTCCTGATAATTTTGTATCCAAGAATTCAGCGCAGATACAGAACTTGACAAGCTGGTACTGAAGAGGGGTGAACTTGGTGGCATGTAGTGTATCATGACAAAAGCGGAATTCTAAAAGAGCGCCTTTTACAACAAGATAGAACTAAAGGTATTGATTTCAGGGATGACAGATTTTGCTCATTTAAACGATTACATCTTGCTGGCAAATCCGCTTTTGTAACACCAATCACAGAGTGCCGTTTTCTGTTCGATCAGCAAACTTGGACACAAAATCACGTTTTCCCAATGTGGCACTAAAGTGGCTTAAATCATTGCCGTAAAGCAGTGACTACCAAATAAAGAACAACCCACCTAAACGTCCATGGTTCTTCTTAAATTCCATCCAAATCGCCTCGGAAAACAACCGAGATGTCAGAGTTTTAAAAGATTCAGCACAAGCATTTTGCCTCATAAACTTATTCATGAAGGTGTCCCCCGCGGTCTTACTCCTTTATATTTAAGAAAAAGCCTTTTGTACAAGCGAACATTAAAGGCGGGAACAACTTTTACGGTGTAGTTGCCAGCATACGCGTAATCAGTCTTAAAGCATGGCTTTACAACAAGACCCGGGGGTCATTCACAGAAGCTTTATAGGGGGAGGTCCAACCCCCTACCCTTTTATATACCATTTTGAACAGAAAAGGTACCCCTTTCGTATACCTTGCATTGAATTGACTCCTACTAACAAATGGCACCTCTTTCACACGCCTTGTTTAGAACACTGCATTTCTTACACTATGAATAAATAACTAAAGTAGAAATATTCTAGTCTCTTTCATATCCCTGAAAATGAGCCTGGAAGCCATTTTTGGTACCTATTACAGACCGAAATGAAAGATCTCCCTACCCTTTCATATACTTCAACTAATGAAATCCCTATATTGCATATACTGAAGGCCTAATAAAGGTACCCCTTTCGGGTTGAGCCTCTCCGTATAGGCCATTCTAGGGAGTTCCTGCCCCCCCCCCCCCCCCCCCAGGGTCAGATGGAAAGCCACACAGTAATTCGACCTAAACTTCCTTTTTAACTACGGCAACCGCAACTGCGTACTTGAATTTGTTTCAACTGTTTTGTTGCGAGTATTTTTTACTGGCTTTACCCCCTCTGAGCACTGCATTTTACAAACTGGGGCGGTTAGAATGGAGGCAAAAAAGCGTCCAATCAGCAAGACTCTAGCGTGTTGGTTGGTGGTCTTCTCTTTTACTCTCTGTTTCGTGACATTGATCCATGTCGAGATCGAGCTTCACGCTCATCGAAACAGGCTTCAAGTCTTGACTCTACAGAGAGAAGAAGGTATCCATTCACGACGTACTGTGAACGATAAATTGATTGCTTCTGCGCTGCGTGGTGACAATGGCAAAGGTCAGTGGTTTTTTTATTGTTCCCAGATTTTTGGCAAAATTAGAATTGTTCCTTTTGCAAGGAACCTTTCTTTCGTAACAATGTCCTATTTCGTTACATGAGAAACTAAGCCGTTATTTATTGACTCTGAAAGGAACTGAAAAGGTCAGTTTCCTAATTGTATCTTATCAGAAAAAGCATTCTGTCGCATCGGTTTCAGCTGTTGTGGTATCAAAGGGTTGAGAAATAATCTGCGTAAATGTTTAAACATGAGCCGCAGGTTTAACAATAATAATAATAATAATAATAATAATAATCTTTATCAATTTCACTGATGAGTGATTTACAAAAGAGTCCTCAAAAATTAAAAAAGAACAAAAAGGAAAAATAAAGACTAATATATGAATATATAAAAATTAAACTAAAAACTATTTACATTTCTTAACACTCTTTTAAAACTAGCTAATGATTGGCTTTGTCTGATTGAAAGGTCTAATTTATTCCAATCGTATGAGGCAAAGTTTGTCGAGGTCCAATGGCCCCAGTTCCTATTAGATGCACTCTTACAGATTTTGTTTTTATATCTAGTATTATAATCATGTTTATCTTTATTGAATTCAATATTAAAACGATGTGAAAATAAGTTATTTAAACATTTATAAATAAAAGTTGCCCTATGCTCGGCCCTACGTCTTGCGAGAGTTTTCCAATTCACTTTATTCAGGGCCTCACTAGCAGATGATCCAATAGGCAAATCTAAAATTATTTTTGCAGCTTTATTGTGTAAAGATTGAATTTACAACATTATTAGAGTGGAGTTGATATCAGCATAGTCAAACAATGGCACAACATAGCTGTTAAAAAACAGCAATCTAGCATCTAAAGGTAGGCAATAACGAACACGTTTAAGTAGACCCAGCTTCTTATTTATCTTAGAAAACATTTGATCAACATGATCTTGCCAAGTTAAACGATTAGTAGCCCAGTACAGTCAGTACCAAAAAAATTAATTTAAAAAAGTAGGACAGAAGGTAGTTTCACGGAACGATCATAACAATAACGTGCTGAATTCTCCCTTAGTTGCAGAAAAAAACTTTCGTCAAAAACGCAACGCCAAAAATGTAAACAAGAAATCAAACGTCAGTGAAATCGTCAGTCGTGAGTATATCAAAAGAGAAGTTCGGCTAGCGATAAGTAACCTGGCCTGCGTGGTGCATTGCCCGAAGGGAGTCAGGGGAAGACGAGGCAAACCTGGTCCCCCAGGTAAACACGGGCCAGCTGGGCCTCAGGGACCACAAGGACCAAGAGGAACTCAAGGAGATCAGGGGCCTCCTGGACCTAAAGGTGATCAGGGGCCTCAAGGACCCAAAGGTGATCCTGGTGAGTCCATCTCAGCTCCTTTGATTGTGTCACCTCCGATGTCCATCGTCGTAAACAAAACTGGTATAGCGTCACTGCGGTGTGGGGTCAAAGGAAATCCAGTGCCCCAGGTCACGTGGCTGAAGGAAAATTCCAGTCTTCCCTCCGATAAACGAATCATGCAATCACGTGGTGACTTTGTGATAAGAGATGTGACGTCACAAGACGGAGGAGAGTACACATGTAGGGCAAGAAATATTCTTGGAGTCGTGACTTCATCGGCCACACTGACTGTTCAAGGTAATTAATTTTAATACTAAAATTAATATTAATGTCCCAGTGTACAGGTGAAAAAAATCTACAGTAGCTTTGCGATAACAAAGCTTAGCGATTCATGTTCAAACTACAGATAATTGTACTGTCTACTTGAAAAATTTCTCATAGCAGAGAGTTTCGACATCAAGCCCAAAATATCTTACATGTATGGAAAGTCTATGAAGTTTCTGCACATTGTATTTGGCCTGTGTTTTCGGCACGTTCCAATAAGTTACAATTGAGTATCCTGTTCCCACATCTAAACAAGCTGAATACTCTTACATTATTAGAAAAAGTATATATTTACTTAAGATTCTTAAGAACGAAGAATCTCTGGCATGATATACGCTTGAGCCTGTTTACATGAACAAAAGTCTTGTACCCCATACCCCATAACATCCCAGAGGTTGTCAAGAAAAGATTAGGATTATCACACGAGCCCAATGGGACCAATGAAAATAAAGTTATGACTTACACTCTACACGATAAATCCGTAGTCGACATCATTCCTTTTGTAATTAAGATATCTGTCTCTTAAGCATTTTCTTTGACTACCTTGTCTTATAAGATATTGGTTGAAGTGTTGGATTTGCAGTTAAACCGATAAACCCTAAGTCAGAGTAGTCGTAGTCGGAGTGGTAAGAGCCCTAAGGGTCGTTATAGTCTTAACTGAATCGCAATCGCAAGAATCAAAATGTTTCCATTTTCTTCTTACTCCCCTCGGCTATTATAGCTCCGTCGAATCACGGGCTCGTGATCGACGGAGTTGCAAGCGAATTAGAGCGCTCTTTCTACTAAATCATCACACGGGCGCTTTTGCGTATAACCCCAACCTCGAATCTGCCATTAACAAACTCCAGCCCCTTCTCAGCATGTGTGACTTTACGCTGGCTGCATTAAATGGGACGGAAAAAGTCGTTCACGAACTTCAAAGTGATAGACCAAGTGCCAGGTTCCCTAGGATGCTTTTAAGTTAGTTGACGTGCAATTTTTTTGTGTCTGTTAATCAGTTGCTGCCTTGGTCACAAAAAAGCCCTCGTCTGTTATCCTTGAAGAAGGAGAAAACGTAACTTTGGTGTGCAAAGCTTCTGGTCTGCCGATACCAACGATCAAATGGCAAAAACCATTAGGTCATTTGCCAAGAGGAAGAACTGCAGGGATCGATGGGAATATGACTATAATTAGTGTAACTAAAAAGGATACTGGGACTTACGTATGCTCAGTAAAGAATCTCCTTGGAGAAGACTCAGCTTTGGCCGTGATAACAGTGATTGACAGGCTCAAATTTACCGTGACACCTCCTTTAAAGATTGCCGCATCTGTGTTCAACAACCTGACGCTAAATTGCAAAGCCCAGGGAGCCCTAGAAATGACCTGGAAGAGGACAAACAAAAATCTTCCTCAAAACCACGTTTTAATTTCAAACGGAAGCTTGTTTCTCAAACAGGTGACTGCAAATGATGACGGATCTTACACATGTGTTGCAAGAAACTATCAAAGAACAATTGAGGCATCATGTGTTGTAGAAGTGCTCAAACCCGTGTCCTGTAGCAGTATAAAATCAGGCCACAGTGGAAGCTCTTCAGGTAATCTTATTATTGACCCTAATGGCAAAGGAGGCGTGGCTCCGTTCAGTGTGTATTGTGATATGAGTGACAAGGGAGGAGTTGGCGTGACAGTCATAAGTCACGACAGCGAGAGGAGAACATATGTTGCTAACATTCCTGGGTGTGAGGTTGATAAACCAGGATGTTACAGTAAAGATGTAACTTACAGTGGAGTCAGCACCGCTCAGCTAACAGCACTCACTCGCATTTCGCAGAACTGTGAACAATTCATCAAGTTTGAGTGTAATAATGGTGTAGGATTTGTACCGGAGTCGGTTGCCTGGTGGACGTCACGTGATGGGATGAAAATGAACTACTGGGGAGGAGCTGGTGGATCATCTAATATGTGTGCATGCGGGGTAACAAACTCTTGTTCAAGTGGGAAAAAATGCAATTGTTACAACGGTGGCAGCGGCTGGAGAGAGGACAGCGGTCTACTAACGGACAAGTCAGCATTACCTGTGTCACAGATAAGACTGTCAGACCTGAATGACCCAGGCGAACAAGGATATCACACATTAGGAAAGCTCAAGTGTTATGGCCTGGCATGATATATTTTACAAAAATATTGAGATAATACAGAAATTTTTGTGGTTAAAAGAAATAATGTCATGCACCTAAACGTCGCAAAGAAAACTGTCCTTTAAGCAGACAGTTCCATATTTGCCTGCTTCCCGGCATTTAGTCACAGATCGCTAATTGCGTCAGAATGGGAAACAACCCACTAGAATGCGAGTTGTTTAAGTGGTCTCTTCACTTATCCAACCACGAATAATCTCATTTACATCAGCTTTTCCAGACAGCACGTTTGAAATCGCCCAAACGGCTTGGAAACTAAAATTTGATAGCATTTTGTTTTGAATTAGGGCATGGGCATGATTTTCAATTGAACATGCCTAGCGAACGTAAAAATTGCTTTCAGTCTGAGGATTAATGATAGAGGCGAAATTTTATATATTTAGGCATGAAAGAATTAAAGGGACCGTTGGTACTTAGAAATAACATCTCTGAGGCATGGAAAAATCGGTTTATGCCCTCGCAGCCCAAAATTGAGGTAGGTCCCAGATCTCTCTCCGGGCTGATGTTTCATTCCCAGTTTTTGCTCGTCCGTGAGTCTTGGACTTTGAAAGGTGGACACTATTGTTAGCCTAAAAAGGCTTGTTCTTGATATACAACAACATTTGACATTATTTTTGCTTTTTTTTTTACCAAAAATTGATGAAAAAAATTGAATTTTGTTACCAAAATTATGGGTTAACCCCTTTGCAAAAATCCGATTTTTTGGTTCTTTGAAAAATGGACATTTTTGCATGTTAGTCTAAAAAGGGGCTCTTTTCCTACAACTACATTTTACATTATTTCTGGCTTTTTTTACCAAAAATTGATGAAAGAAAAAATAGAACTTTTTGATCAAAATTATGGCTTAACCCCTTTAAAAAAAGAACTATTTTTGATTCTTTCAAAAATGGACATTTGTTCTTGTCTAAAAAAGGCTGGTTTTTATCCACCACATCATTTTACATTATTTCTGGCTTCTTTTCACGAAAAATGTTTTAAAGGAAAAACTGAATGTTTTGACCAAAATCATGGGTTAACCCTGTCAGAAAAATCCAATTCTGGGACTCTGAAAAAAGAACGTTTCTTAGCTATAGTCCAGAAAGATTTTTTTTAATCCAGAACAACATTTAACATTTAACGTTAGCAATTGATTTTACAGCACGACGCCGTTGTTCAAAACAGCCTATTACTAAGTTGGTAAAGAACATGCAACTGCCACAGACAAAATCAATGCAATCAACATTGAATACGGCTCAGGTAAAACTCGCAAAATATACTCCGCTACCAAAGTCATTTTAGAATTCGAGTGAAACAAACACCGAACAAATTGATGACAGAACCCCAACGCTTTTTCGTTTTTGCAACCTTTGCTAAGTATAAATATAGATATATCTGTTACATCCCAGACCCTTTACGCAGTTTTCCAATTCCTCCCTGGCTTTTACCATATTCACTGAAGCTCTTTGCATTTTTCCGCCTCGTATTTCACGCCTTGAAGTTACGATACAAAACGTCTTCGGCAAGTCGTCGGGCTTGTTCGGAATTGAACGCCGCGTCAGGGATCATTTTAAAGGAGTTTTCCAGGAACGGATTTGACGTGTTGCCATATTTTTCGTCTTCCATGGGTGTAAGCCGGGATAGAGGGTGTTTGTTAAGCCGTCAGCGTTCGGCGGCGCGAAATTAGGCTTTCCGGTTTTTTTCAGTCCTCCTCGTAGCGGTATCTCTATAGACTTTCTTACAGAGCTTTTCATTGCTAATCAATATTTCTGCATAAGCCGTTTTGCCCTATCCTCGGGCAATATGCACACCTCAGAGGTATTGCTAGATTTTCCAAAAAAGTACCGCTTCTGAAAGACAAGGACCTTCGTTTCTGGTCGTCAATTAGCTGAAAAAACAAGCCTCTTGTTTGATTCGCTCAAATGCTCAGTTTCGTGGTTTGAAAACAACAATGATTGAGTTTAATTGAAGCTAAATAAATGAGCCATTTGTTCGCTAAGTGGCTTTCATTAGAATGGCCACACTTTGTTTAGGCTGACTTATCCCTAGACTCGAAAGTTAGAGCCCCCTTTTTAACAGCCAAATAAACAATTTGAAAGCAAAGTCCCAGTGGCTCCTAAGTGTTTATCAGGGTGTTCTTACTGTCATTCAGACTCTTATCGACTCTAAGCTTGTAATAAGAAGTTAACGAAGTTACATAATAGCCTCCTTGTTCTGTCTAAAAAATCTGAGACTAGAAGACTGTACTCAAATTCCGCTCTGCTTCGCGATCGTTCCGCTAGAAACTTCATTTCTTAACAAAGCCTGGCTAGGAAGTGATCACATGATTATATGAGCTTGCGGACTGAAGACTTTAATCCTCTAAATAGTCCATATTGTGAGTGAAAGAGCGAGTCAAAGTTAATCAAATTTAGTAATGCGATTCCAACGATCATCTTGAATTTATAATTATAAGTTTGTTTTAGCCAATTTTTCGCGCTCCAACAAAAGATAATCTCTGTGTCCTTAATTTAAAAGCTTTCGTCCTGAGGGGATTACAACGGCTTATTTTGTGTGTTTTTTCTGGAAAAATAATTTCGAGATAAGCTTTATATTTCTATACTGTGAACAGATATAAATCAAGGACAATTCTGCGCGGAAAATAAGTCGCTGAAACACAAGATAACAACCTTTCGAAAAGCAAAAAACGACACCGGTATGACGACATCATAATGGGATTTCATGGCAAGGCATTTGATAATGGTTTGCAGGCTAAGGCGGCAGGTTCCAAGCCTATCTTGTTTCCAGCCAATCAGAATTTGAGGCGTTCCGGACGTTATCGTTCTTAAGCGCGCTTTTCCATGCGCTCGTCCCTTTCGATCGCTCACCATCACGTTGTTCACATCGCTTGTTCGTTTGAACCAATTTTCAGCATTTTCCACCACCTCTCCTTCCGCCTGCCTGCTGTTTCTCTTTCTTGTCTTAGTGGGTGGCGGTTATTTCCCCCCACCTTTGCTGAAGAGATATTAGTTTATTATATATTGGCAGATCTTGAAAATAAAGTTCGTCACCTTTGGTGGCCAAATTTTCTTCAACCTAATCCGACGCTGTGTTTACCTTCTCAGCAAACAAGTGCGCCGCCACGCAGAGCTCTTGGTCACGCAAAGTTTTCATCGTCCTTATCGTAAAAATGCCTTGATATAAAAGGAACAGGAGTTTATTAAACCAAGTTACCCTACGATAAGAGCGAGCATGTTCTTGTTGACAAAATATTTTGCGTCCCCTTCATGTGAACAGCCAAAAAAAACAACACGCAAATAAAGAAGCTTAAGACGGTGCACTTTATTGGTAAGAAAAGTCATTAAGAATACATGTATCATAAAAAAAATAATAATGAAAATACGAGAACACCACAGCCGGACACGTAAACCCCAAAAAACCAATTGTGGCAAAAATGGGGACCGTGTACCCCCAACCAGTGCTATGGTGCTGCCTTTGGGGTTTTAAGGCCTGCTAGCTTATATAATTACGAGAAAATATCAAACTTTAAGTTAACAGAAATAACCTCTTCGCTTAGCTAGGCTAAAAGAAAGGAAAAAACCGTTTGCTCGCTGAGTTGTTGAATCGGCAGGGCTGACCCCAGAGGAGCGCGCGCGACTTAATCATCTCACTACTGTCGCCGTTTCAAAGTGCGCAAACAATGATATCAAAGCGCTTTATGAGGGTGTTAACCTGAATATCTGTTTTTGTGCCTGCAGAACTGAATTAAATTATGTTCATGGAACCAATGTAAAGGTTTGAAAGCTAGATAGCAGATAGCCACTATAACGTTTTGTTATTTTTATTTTTTGTTCAGGCAAATTCAGTTCAGCCAAAACATCTCCTTGGAACCTCTAAAAATCTTCATGCATTATAAGGTTATTGCTGGTTATGTTACATGTTAAGCTATGGAATCAGCGAAGTCAGTGGCATTAATTAAGAAGAACTCAGAAGTTCCAAGTTACGCTGTTACGGTCGTGGTCGAATTGATAAATTCTACATTTCTCTAAAATATCTTGCCAATTGTAAAATAGCTTTCTCACTTTACATCATGGTTCTCTCACTATTCGTTACATATTGACCTTTTTTAATTATTCCATGTTCATCTAGCACGAAACCAATACTGTTAAGTACAAATAATCTACGGATTTTTATTATTCCTTTTGCTCCTCTAACAGCCTTTTAAGAATACCAAAGCCAATTCATGAACATCTATATTTACTATCTTGCTTTCTAGTTCGTAAAATCCTAAACAATTATTGTTACTACGAGGAAGTAGTGCTGAAAAAGTCTTATTTCCATGGTGACACCAAACACATTTTCTTTATTTTCATAAATGCTTTGGAAGAGTGCAGTTCGTACACACCGCGCGTTAAACCGTCATGTTTCATCGACCGGGAATGATGTTACTACGTCTTCCTCAGAACATAGGCACAAGTTCAAACTCGCTGCAGTTTAGAACCGATGGCCGGTTTACAAAGTAAAATATATGGGATAAAAGCTTAGTAGAAGAACAATTTGTTTAGTTTAAACTTTATAGAATTGGCTGAATTCGTTTTTTTCAACGATCAGTGTTTGCTGGCGAAACTGCAAGGGACTGCCTTAAGTAAATATTATAGTCTATCGTAGTTTAAAGTTCATCTTTGCTTGCTTTCTCCTCCACATAGGGTGGTAGAGTCGTGCAAGTACATCCACAATCTTCGTCCAATACGAAATATGGACTCTTAAATTGCACTCTTTTCCTCATGGGTGCTGTTGGAACAAAACAATTTGGAATCACCTTTTTTGTCAATTTTTAAATAAGAATCTCCCAGGTTTATTTTACTATAGCCGCAGAGTATTTTTGTGGTTTTGTTTTAGTAAAATCCAACTAGTGGTCATTATGAATGCGCGTTCTGATTGGTTGAGCTACTACTAGGCTGTATGTTAAAGCCCACTGGTGGCGAAAAGCGCCGGCTTTGAAAACAAAAATAATGGCGGCTGAATCGGGTTTTGCTAGCAAAAGTTGTTTTATCTCGATATTTTTGTCCAACTAGTTGGATTTTACTAAAACAGTTATTCCTCTCGCCCTCATGGCCTCTGAGTCAATAGCTTATCTGGCCTTCGGCTTCATGGGCTATTGACTTAGAGCCCATTCGGGCTCGAGGAATAATTGTTAAATATCCTTAATTTTATTATAGGTACAGGTGCCTTCAATGACATTTCTAGTTTCAGGTTATAGGTCTTTGCCTTTACTATTATGAAGATGACTCGTTCTCAGCCTTCTCTTTTGACTCTTTTGGCCAGTGAATGGTCAAGTGAGACTATTACGGCATCTGAGCGAGAAGAGAGGCGACTGGAGATCGAGTCAGCAATTAAAGAAGGAAAAAGGTGCTCACCAGGTGAAGACGCCTTGGCCATTTACTGAGCTGTGGGGTTTCTTCATCTAAGTACAAGAACATATTAGCATCATTATCATCATCATCTTCATCATCATCGTCAGCATCACTGACATCGTTAGCGTCATCAACTAAATCGTCAGCATCCGTCATTGTCAGCATCACTATCATCATCATCATCGTCATCATCGTCATCGTCATCGTTAGCTGCATCATCAGCATCATCGTCAACGTCACGAAAATAATCGTCAGCATTCGCCATGTCATCGTCATCGTAATCATCAACATTACCATGGTCATCATCGTCGTCAGAGTCATCGTCATCGTTAGGGTCATCAGCATCATCGTTAGCATCCTCAGCAGTCTTTGTCATCATCTTCATCTTCATCATCCTCTTTCTCAGCACATCAGCATCATCATCATCACAATCTTCATCATAGTCAGCATCATCATCAACATTGTCGTCCTCGTCATCATCCATGTAATAGGCAGCACATAGCAATGCTACGTCAGGCTGCTTAGCTTGTCCATGTTCACTGCTCCTAAATCTCTCAAGACCAAGTGAAGACCACACCTTTAACTGAACTTATTATCAAAGCTTAACCACCCTCCCCTCCCCCTTCACTCCTTCCTTGAGTCCTCGCGTTTAATCAGCTATAATAACAAAACAGCAAAGACAAAAGCTATATTGCGTTTCCAGATATTTCCGATAGTCAGGTTTTGTTTATATAGTGTGATTGCAGCATAGTTGGAAATTTCATACAATTGTTTAAAACTTAAAAATAATACAGGTCAATAGGGATAAATCTTGAAAATCATGACTCGCTCGCAAAAGAACAAAGAGAAAAATAAGGTCAAAAAAGTAAATAACTTTAAAAAATGTAACAATAATGAACTTAATTAAAATAATAGTAAACAATAAATAAACAAATAAATTTAAAGAATGTAACAAAAATGAACTAACTTTAAAATAATACTTAATACTAGAGTTCATAAAATATATTCAAATAATTAATAATAATAATTATCGCATATAATGATTGTAATAGGAAAGGGAAAGCGTTAATACTTCTAGCTGAGTTTTTGAAACGTAACTGCTTAGTTACGTTGTCAAAAATCAGTCTAGTTTTTTTGTTGTTGCAGCTGCTTGTTAAATAATCCTTTTCTATTGTTATCATCATTACTGTGATCATTATTATTATCCCTATTTTTATTCATTTGAATTTATATTTAGTTTCATTATTATAGGACATTTTATTATTTATTACTTTATCACTATTTATCTACTTGTTTTTTATTTTCTTTTATTCATATGTCATTTTAAATTCATTTCTGTTCCATTTTCCTACATTTATTTCCTCTTTTGACCTTTTTCGTTTCTTTACTTTTGTGATTCCAATTAGTCCACCCGCGTTTTAATTAATATTTCAAATAATAATGTTATCCCTACTGGCCTTAAAATCCTCCGGGAAGAACACCTAGACCATCTGAAGTATCGGGAGAACTCAGGTCGCTTTTGTATTTTCTGTTGTGTAAATTACAGTTCTATATCGTTTACTTCATTTGGATGTCGTCTAAATTACTAAAGTTTCAATGGACAATTTTCCCTGTTGAATAAAGACATGGCATCTCCATCATCGTCGTTGTTTGACATCACCATCACCATTATCGTGGTCGTCATCATCATCATCATTGCAATCAACAAGATAATTAGCAATTACTGGATGAGGTTTTAGTGATATCCGGAATAATCAAGGTCGAGGTAAGTGTTATCAGCCGAGCTGAAGGCCGAGGCTGATAACACTCATAGAGATCTTGATTATTTAGGATATTACAAAACCGAATTTCATAATTGTTTTATTATACATTGTTTTGAAGAGAATAACGACAATCACACCCGACGCAAGGAACCTGAATTGATTTTGTTAGTGGAAATCATGCATTGCGCGCGCAACCTACAGATTAGTCAGTTATCTACTAGCAGATAACTAACTAATCTGTAGGTTGCGCTGATTTCCGAAATTAGCTGTAGGCTCTTGGCCAATGAGAATAGAGTAATGAGTACAATGTACAATAATCATCATAATTGATGAAAAAGGGTCAGCTATTTACCCAATCCTCTAATCACTGACGTTGCCTCGTCAGACTGCCGCTAAATCTCGCTAGAAAAAAAAACTTAAGGCGGCAAGCAAATTTAGGGAAACTTCGGACAGACAAAATGTTTAGCGAAGCACTTTTACTCCTTGATTATTGCAGTTTTAGGATATGTTTAGTCCAGTTAATTTCATACAAAACTTAAAATTCCCGCACGGTTTGGATGGCGCCAACCGAATTTCTTTAATTCAATTCTTTGCAAATTAGATGGAGAAAGATTGTACTTGCCTCTTTCGAGTTAAGAAAGGCAGCTCCTTCACATAATTTTCGAGCCACCGACTGCAGGCCAGACGAGGCGCGACATCTGAAATCTTTTGGATCTGTACAAAATAGATCTCAAGAACAAGATATTTAGCGTATCAAATGGATGTTTGTTACTCAGCAAATAAGAGCCTATTACATATTTCGCTCTTCTTAGTTAAGTAGGCCTAGGTTTGAATTCCACTAACAACTTGTATTTGTTTGAAGTATTGTCACAGTTAATCAAAGTTCATGGATTAGACGTCCATTGAAGGAGAAGAAGTGTTTAGGGACCTTTAATTGAAAGTTACGATTTGTCTCTAGGGAATTCAATTAACTGCCTGACATACAGCCAGCATAGCCGACTCCTCTCGTTGAGGGTCCTTGTTGTCTATTTTGCAATATGCAGTTTTAGCAGACTTAGTTGTCACTTAGATCACAACTTGAGTAAATGCACATAGTGAGTTCTTTTATCATCAGTTTTCTTTCCTAGTATCTTTTTTGGGGGGTGGGGGGCGGGGGGCAAGGTTAGGTTGAACATGTTCGTATGTTTTCTTCTGTATATTACTTACCTATGATCAGCCAGGTGGGTCGTTCCAATCACTTTCTATGTAATAGCCAAAGATAGACTTCCAGGTTGCTTTTCGCTCGCTGACTTCTATCATCAATTTTCCGACCTAAAGTCAAAGTTTCTCAAGAGCATGGATTAAGAACGCAAGCAAAAGTTTTCCATTGTTTTGAAAACATTAATTCTGTCACTAATTCCTTTTAATCCTTGGATGTTCCTCCTTTGCGTTTTGGACTACCTAAGTGGTAGCCAAACTGCTGTTTCGGATATAACCTCTTGGCATGGATTTGCATTCCATTTAAACGTGACATTTTTTAAGTTTCTTCATAGAGGTTTGAATACGATGAATATTAGAGTCAAATTCATGGCTTGAAATGGTAATCAAAGGCTTCATTTCCTTTCAGAATGCTTGGGTGAAATCATCCGAGGATAAGTGCATTACCTTTCCAATACTTACCTCGGATCGGGTAGCTGGGGTCACCTGTCCCAATGTCAATGGGCCGGCTACGACAGCGGGTTGGAAACAACGTCTGGAATTGCACAGACCTGAACAAAAAGCTTCTTAAAAAAAGATTATCAAAGCAACAGTTTTAACATGGCAGTTGAAAGTATACAGCTTCAGTCTCTCAGACACCCTAGCGATTGAGTCTCATTAATACTTCATATCGATTTGCTTACTGATGAAGCAATGTTCATGGGTTGGAATCCCTGACTGGGAAATAGTATTTCCCTTTAAAGTTACGACTTTTGCTGCAGTAGAAGCACAATTGCCTACAAAACTCTTTTTTTAAATGACCTTGCCATCTTGTGGGTATGTTTAACTTCTTAAAGACCGAGGGATTCCTATATTCTTCTACTTACTGGTTGCACGTCACTGCTGATGGGCCTTATCACGGCTGGACGTCTCCGACCTAAATGAAATATTTCTTAAAAACAGAATCAATAAATAACATCAAAACACTGGCTTTGTCCACACTTGGAAACCAATCGCAGACTCCGTTTGCTACTGTCAGCTATTATCAAACGGACTCGAATTGAGCTGAACATCATTTGGAATTCCAAGTCTTGAAAATTGCATTCTTTGGTACACTAGGAGCACCAGTAAATAAAGAAATGTCGTAGGTTTGAATCCTACTAGAGTGTGAACGAATAAATTTTAGTATCATCCGAGGATAAGTGCATGTATCAGCACTATACTCACTTTCCTTTTCTGTCATTCTTCCTTGCATCTTAGACGCTGCTGTCGAACGCACTAAATCTGAAACCCAAAGGTATAATCTAACAGTTAGAGCATAAACAGATCTGTCTTACCTTTAAAACTTTGACTCGTTTATCAGTCGTAATCAGCATCGACACGCGTTTCTTCAGGAACGCAGCCAGAAAGAACTTCCAAATGAGCTTCTAGAGAGCATACGTTACATGCATTCTGTTTGCTGTGGTCGGTCTTCACAGGGCGCGCCCAACAAAAAGACGTCTTCGAGGCAGCGATGTTCGAGCAAAGAAAAGATTTAAAAAACGACGTACGATGTTCCTGAAATGAAACTTTTTAACTATTTATTATCGGTTTAAAGAATAAATACAATGATGAAACGGGAATGTCTTGGTCACACTTTATTATTTTTCTGAGAAGCAACTCCGTCACAACATAATCAGTACCTTATCTAAATTTGTTAGTGCTGGTTTAATTAACCAAAAAAAAAAAAAAAAAAAAAACAAATAAACAAACAAGCTGATTATATACCTTTCGTTTGTTAAACTTTATTTTTCATCAACTTTTAATTACGTACAATTCAATTACATTAACCTTAATATTAATGTTTCTGCCCTTCCTTCAGCACCTCACGTACGACTTCAAAATAGGTAGTGCCATGCGTTTCTTCAAGAACGCATCCAAAACGCAGTACAATGGCCAGAAAAAAGTCATCTTGAGAGGGCGCGCCCAAAAAATGTGCGTCCATTTACCCTCGCAAAAAGTGGCGGAGGAATCCAAAAACGATAAACTTATTGATTTTCAACGCACCTGAAATTAAATGAGTTAGTTATTTGTGTTTTAATAACGAGCACACTGATGCGACACTCAGTGTCACTCAATGAGGTTAGTTAAAAGACATCACACTCACAACTCAGTGTTTTATTTTTGTTTTATTTTTTTTTGCCGTTATTACATCAAGTGTTATGTAAAATCCCTGCAAATTAAATCATCATTAGTACTTATAATTAATTACCTAGAGATTTAACTTTAAAGTAAAAGAAAACACCACACAGACAACACATTAGGTGAAGCATTTTTATTCAATTGAGTTTGCTGTTTACAGAAATTAAGTAGTCTATATAGATGGGGTGCGCCTCTAAGAATTTGAAGTCCGAGCAAGACCGAGGAGTGTGACATGCGTCCATAAAACCTTGACACCTCGAATGAAACACACCAGGGTCCCCCGGACGGTATGCAGGGATATATGGCGGCTTGCTATGGAAACTTTGTCTATACCAAGCCTTTACAGTTTTTGAAGCCGAATCCGGAATCAGATCAAAAGTCGAATCGAAAACCGAAAAAAGACGAACGGACCGAACCGAAAATCTAATGGCCTAAAATATAAAAAAATCCACATACCTTGTGCCACATTGGATTATTACTTGGGCTGATTGATGTGGTGCAAAGTTTACATAAGCTACGAACGTTAGCTTGTTACAAACACAGCGTTACGAGGAAATTCAATGAGCGGCCGATTTTCCTATTTAAGACCGAGCGAGTCAGCTTTGCGTAAAATTCGTACCAGCATAAATCAGCCCTACCTTATATGGGCTGCTGTAAACTGTCATGTTCCTCCACCAAAAGACCAAGGAGACTGAGATCCACAATCCAAAAAAAGGCGTAGGCCATTGGGGAAAAAAAGAAGTCGTAGAGGCCCATGATGAGGTGAAGTTGCCCAAAGGTGAAGTTTGGCCGGCCAATTAGATTTTAATTATAAAATATTGGTGGCTGTCTTAACTAACATTGGACTAAGCGAGTTTAACGACCGCGCAACAAGGTATCAGACATGACGAAAATTCAACTAATTTCAGAATTACGGTGACTAAAAATTCTTATGAAAAATTAAAAGGGTTGGGGGAGTGGATGTGGGCCATTACAGATATCAACGTTAGTTAAGACAGCTTATTTAAGTTATTGCTATATGCTGTCTCCTCTGTCTTTACCTTGCCTTCCTAATGATGAAGTCGTTTTCACTATGATGTCATCGGCTTCTGTTTGCAAAATAGCCAATTACATTTTAACGTGATTTTCTTCAGTTCAATTATGACCCTAAAGCAACGGCAAATAAAATAACTTTTAGTAGAAGCAGAATGACGTCTTAGCTCAAACGATCATCATCATCATAAACGTCGTCATCGTCATCGCCATCATCATCATCATTGTCTGGTTTGGTCCTATGCGTTTCTTCTAAATTCATCGCCGCAAAGGCAGCTACCTCGCCTACTTAATAAACTGGACTATCTTTCTGTACGTCTGGAGGTTCTTTGTTCTTCTTTCTTCGGCCGGCCTCTTACCTTAATGTAGCAATGGACCCACAATATAATCACACACAATACGATCAAGCATACGATCACAAGCATTTTATTTATATTTGCAAAAGCAACTATTTCTTGTTACAAGATTCAGGGAAAAAAGTAAATAGACAGCGTACTGCTTTAGGATTCACTCCCAGTCATGAAGTACTTCAAGAGTTGTCTGGGGTAGATTGGGAACACTGCAGGCCACTCTCGGATGAAGACTAAGAAACCAATACCCACGAACGGTCGACTTGAAGACTACGTACGCCTACCATTTGTAGACGATCTGTGCCTGCGTAGTGCAATGCAGGACTTCCTAAGAAGAAAACTCTCCAGCAAGGCAAAATTAACAAAAAGACAAACTAAATTGTCTTAATGTTAACGATGCCACGCCAGAGTATCCTCTCCTGCTATTCCTGTGGCCTCTGAAAAACTATCTATAACCTGCGAGGTTTTCACCTGAATGCCATTCAGGGACACGCATATCAAGGTATGGTGGGCCTTCACATGTGTTTCCCTAAAATATTCGGCCTAGTGACATTCTCGTAATCACTCCGCAGGTTAATAACGTTGCTAAATGCTGATCGGCTTGTTCGTGCTCCTCCAGCGATGAAACTGCGTCGTAGATTGGTCTCGAAGACTTCCTACGCTTACGATTTGTAAACGATCTAGCCTGTGGTGTGTGGATTGTCCCATGTTGCCCTGGCAACCTGCAACAAGGTGTTGGCTCTTCGCGGGAAGAAACGCCGTATCGCAGATTACCTTCTTTGTAAGACTAAACCTGTCATCTGATCTACCCTCACACGTTCGAAGTCTGAAAATCAATGCGCATCAAAAATGTTCGCTTCGCATTCGCACTGTTTAACATGAAAAGTCAAATTGGTATAGGAAGGAGCAGACTCGAATTTGCGAGACTAACCTGACTATCTACCTGTAACCAGAGAGACTATTGAGCCTGTAAGTGGAGGCCAAATGGGGTCCTCTCACTGCAGTAGCTGAATGGTCTTATGTCTCTAGTTTACTAAAGTTTCTTCTTAAAATAATAACTGTCTGGTTGAACCTTGCGAGTGAATGCTTCACTTGCCCAGCGCAATGACTATCAAGTGAAGTGTAATGAATTGAATTTGGCGCAACTAAGCGGGAGACTGCAGTGACGACGACGACGACGAAAAAAGGCAGTGAAGTCCATCCGAAAAAGATGAAAAAACGCGGTCCAACGGTTTCCTAGAAGCCAAGCCGAATCTTAAAAGCCGAACTTATGTCGCTGACCGAACACCTGCAAAGGAACCCAACTTATGAAAAAGGGCAGGGGAGGCCCTTACCAGCCCAGGGAGCCCGCTAACTGATCTAACTACAGTTAAGTTAAGCCGAAAAATATGTCCGAAAACTTCAGGCCGAACGTGTGTGGAAAGTATGCTTTGCAAGGTTCATCCAGAGCTCTATATACCCCCCTTGACCCAACCCACAAACAATGCACCTGACCTGTACCATTTACGAGGTTGGGTGTGCTGTGCTGATTTGAACTGGAGCAGTCATGGATGGTAGTCTGTGGGCTGATCTGATCTGGTGGTCTGGTCTGACGATGATCTAATGTGGAAGTTGGTGCATGGTCTGATCTGTGGCCGGATATGAGACTCATCTGATTGTCTGTTGTGGTGGTCTGATCTGGGGCGGATCTTATGGCCTGCCGATGTGGTCTGGTTCCACGGCCTAATCTGAACGACTGACTGAGGAAGATGGTCTGCTCTGACGGCTAAAAATCAAAAACATGAGAAGCTGAGGTAACAGTAGTGAAAAGGCTTTAAACGCTTCAGGGAGCTACGCAAAGAGAAATGAAGAAAATATACGGAAATACTTTATTTTTCAAATTCAGTTGGAATCGAATACTCTCGTGCCCTGGAAAGCTTTGCAAAGACTCAGTCAAACCAATACAGGGCTGTGCTGACGATCTTTTCGTATCTTTTCCATTTGTATTAAGGATTGTATATTGTAATGTTTGTCACCATGGTAACAATCCAGGCTCGGCTGCAATATATTCGCGCGAGAGATCGCGCGTGATGCAGTTGCAAATGGTTGGTTCAAACCGGTTTTTACCATGGCAATTAAGCTTAAATCTGGCCAAATATAATGAAAACTATTTGACTTATGTGAGAACTGATCACTAGTTTACAACTTTATATGGCAAGTCAAAAGTCATTATTGATTCCAATCTATTTACATATTGTAATTTGTCTAATTATAAATCGTATGTAACTGTTTAAATAATTCATTTTAAACGGTAAGTTGCATGTATGCATATCTTGTTTCGACAATTCACTCATTTAACTACGGTTCGTTTTTTGCACGACCCTGTTTGAATGTAAGGGCAATGTCATTCAACGCAAGACAGTAAGAAATCAATAATTTCAGAAAGACATCAATACATTTCAGTAAGACATCAATAAATCTCCAATCCTGTTTAGTAGTGGCACACGAGGAAGCTAAAACTCAAGTAGTGAGTTAACAAAAAGAGTTGTTTGAAATTGCCGAACTAAAAACGTTGACAGCCAAAAGTATCAACTGATGAAGTCACATTTTCCCATCCTCTCTAATTAGGTTTACTGTGCAAGGTACTTTTTTTTTATTCTTTAAGTATAAAATGTTTGTTCAAATTCTTAGAAAAAAAAATTAAAAAAACCTTCTGCAAACTTTGAGGCTTTCTGTTACAGCTTCTATTCAGGAGCACCTAACGACGGTTTCCTCCCAATGCATTGAAAAGACTTTTTGAGACTTTACAGAATACGTTTAGACCTTTAAAATGTATTCTAAGCGGTGCTATATAAGTTGTATCTGTTCGTTCATCCTAAGGGAACTTAAGCCTTTTCGAAATTTCAAGAGCTTTTAGTATTATTGTCCCGATAATTTTAGATGCAATTTAGCGCATTACGAAAGTGAAAAATTTTTTGTTCCTCTCTCCATCACGGTTTTGCATCCGAAAATTTTAGGTTTCCTTTGTCGTTCGAAAAATAGTCTAGCCTTTGGTGTGAAATGTGAAAAATTTGGAACTTCAGAAAATCATAAAGAATTTATTAGATAAGCTGTGAAAACTGCACATGAATGGAACGGTCATCCAAAAATTTTTAGGTATCCTCAAGTCAGTAGAAAATTCTGATTAAATTCAGATTAAAAATCTCGCTGTCATGTTGCCTAGTATAGTACCGGGGAAAGAAAATTTATCAAATTTTGTGTTTTTATGGAGAATTACTGTCTGTGTCACCAATATGAAATTGCATGAATAGCAAAACATGATTTGCTGGGTTACTTTCTGTATCAAAGACTCCACTGAGCTAAGCTTGTATTTGAGAGGGCCACGTGTTCGACATGTACGAAAATACACGGAGCTTTCAAAATAAAAAAAAACTAAATAAATAAATTTTACTGAGTGAACATTTGGCTTCGTTTCTACCCGCTATTTCTCCTCTTGGAACTAATTAGTTTAAAACAAGAACATTCGACTACTGAAAAAACTTAATTTTAAGTTGGACTCGTCGGACCACAACTTTCAACCGTACTGATTATAAATTTAACAAGACAAGTATAATTTACCTCATGCGCTGGTTTTAACATCCCAGACTGCTTCGTTCATAGTTAGCTTTCTTTGTGAAGCTGAGAAAGACGGCTAGGCAGTTTAAACGAGAGAGTCTTGTTTCTCCTTTGTGAGCAACCTTCGCCAGCTCTCAGAACTGAAGTTACCAATTTTTGAACATGGCGCGGAGCACCGTTTTGATTTGCATAATAATTTCTGATTGGATTTTCTTACTGCACGTGTCTATGTAGCAAGCCAACAAAGACTGTTTACCACGTACACCATTTGGGCCCATTTGGGACTTGTAAGGTTAATTAACATTTCAAATAAATTCTTTAAAAAGGTCTTGGGGGAGTAAACCATTTTAAAGGCGGAAAAATCGGTTAATTTATGTGCTCGGAAAGGAAAACTCGCAAAGTCGTGACATTTTGCTCCTGTGTATACGTTGTAAACGAAACTTGACAAATGTTTTCTTCGCACAATGTAATGAAAAGAACAAAAAATATTAAGTCCTAGTACTAGCAATGCATTTTAATTTCAAAATCTGTTAGACAAAACAAAACTGGCTTCTCCAGTCCAGCTCTGCTTTCTACCTAACGGCAGAACGGTGACCTTGGCATGACATTTCTAGATGAGATATACAAGATAAAAGGTACTTTAAGTTAGCCGCATAAGCGTAACAAGTTTCTTTAATTACCACACATTG